AGAGTGGACATATCTGAATCCGTAAATTACGAGAAATATAATTTTAACACTTTAGGGCCACCACTATTCGCCCTAAAGTCTCTAGCAACTGCGACAATCAACCAAGCGACAATTGAATTACGAAACGTAGGGGCGAAATCGTCCAACTTTTCATGCGCAACCTAAAACACTAAACCAAATATATCAATACGTTTAGGAAATCAAATATAGCAAATTGCCTGAAGAAATCGTTTTCAGAAGGGCCTCCAAACGCCGCCACGCACCGTTGTCGTCCACAGCGCCGTCCAGTCAGCTTCGCCTCCACCTACAGAGGCTTCTTGTGGTGTTGGTTTCTTCAAATGACCACTGGTTTGACCGGAAAACTCGATTGCAGGTACGATTTTTGGGAGAAAATCTGGACAGCTTTGCTCTTCAATTTCTGCCGATTTTCTGCTGATTTTCTGCTCAGTTTTTTGGCCTGAAAATCACCACCTAAAGCTCTGATACCATATGTAAGTTATTTCCTTCAATTGCACCAAGATCCGGGCTCAGTCTACCTTCCAATCGACACCACAAAGCAACAAACCACAACTCCTAAACCGTCACCTTCCCAAACCAACTGGTTGCTCTCGATGGCAGCCCACAAAGGGCTGGGCGTGGGGTTTAATATAGCCTCAAAGATCAGCCACACGGGCTAAAGGAAAAAGGAGAGAAGAAAGCACAAAAGGCAGGGAAGCACGAAGCAAGACACGAGGCTGGGGCGCATTTTCTTCTCTTAAAACCAAAGGCTAATTAATATCAATTCCACACACACGAAAACAATAGTAATGGGCAGCATAAATAGTAGTAATGGTGGGCTTTTAGGTTAAGGGGATAATAGAGGCCCAATAAGTGGGCTACCAACCAAAAAAGTCATCCAAGTCTTTGGGCCGAGCCATGAGCAACCCTAATTAAATTAGACTACTTCAAATGGCACAATTAGGTTGTGGTTTGGTTCGAACTATTGTGGTGTCGATATTTCATTTCACTCATCGGTCGAGACCTATGAAGTATAATCCAACAAAACTGTCATAGCCTAGAATTTATTGGGTATCAAAACCCAGCAAAACTTTTTAAATATATGTTTCGTCAACTTTTATCAAAATTTATAAAAAATTAGATTTTTATCTAAAACAAATGAGAGTTTTGTATCATTCAATCAGCGCATTGAAAGGACAATCTTAGTCTTTGTTTGGGCTTCATTTTTTCAAAATACATTTTCTCAAAACTCATTTTCAACTACACATTCTTCAATAAAATATTATTACACTTAAACCCGAAACTTTTCCTTTTTTTTTTAACCATGCATTCTTTAAAAAAAAATCACTATTCCAATTTTTTTTTCCAAATCTTCATTTAACTTGTGTTTAACAACCATTATTTCAAAACTCTTTTTTACCCACATAATGACTGTCAAACAGGTGCTGAGTTGGAACCGAAATGGGGACTCTGTCTAATTACTCCGAGTCTGTTAGTGATAGTTGAGATCACTATTCAAATTCATATGATCAATCTCCATGCCGTCCATAATTACATTGAAGTTAAGCACGTATAAATAGTGTGCTCAACATATCTATTCACGTCTTTGTTTCAGGTGGTCAGAGGTCAAAAGAGCCTTTGAAGACGTTTCATTGTTGTAGAAGCTCGGGTGAGTTCATACCAATTAGGGTTGTAACCAAAAACTGTCAAACCGAACCGAAAAACCACAATTTCGAAACCGACGGTTTGGTGCCACGTGGACCCGTCAACGAAATGACTTTGAACCAAACCAAACCGGTCAAAAACGGTTTGGTTTAGGTTTGAGAATTTTAATTATGGTTTGAAACCAAACCGAACCGGCAAAAAATATATAAAATAAAAAAATAAAAAATTGATTTTTTTT